GTTTTCCCCCCCCCCCCCCCCCCCGCTGTCGACAGCTCACTGTTCCTCACTGTCTACCTCCAGCTTCACTTCCCTCATGAAACTTTCAACAACCATCCAAGCATCTGCAAACTTCCTGCGCTCCTAAAATCCCAGGACATTGTTTTCCATATTCTGTGCATTTGGAACTAAAAAGACACTGACCTGTATTAAGGTTTATCTTTCTATGTACACGCCCAAGCTCCCCAACCAAATGTTAAATCCCTCAAGGACACAGGTCACACTCGACACAACTGTGTGCACAGAGTCCAGCTCCAAGACATTCCTGCGCTAACCACCTTGTGAGCCGTGGATCTGCTGGCCATCACCCTGGGCACTCGCTACTGCGGGGCCGGTGACCTCCAGTGACCTCCAGTCACTCGAGCCGGGGCTCAGTCCCCCCCTTCCCCAGGCCCCGGCTGCCCCCAGCGTCCAGGCAAGCCGACCAGTCTCGTCCCGGCGTGTGTGCGCCCCGCTGTCCATCAGTGTTTCCACCTGCACTGACCAACTGGCACCTTACACCTAACTCAGACCCACCGCGCTCCTGCCCCGCCCCCGTCAGCTGGAACTGTCTTCCCGGTGGCTCATGTCCAAGGCCTGGCTCTCCCTTTGGGTGCCACACGCCCCAAACACGACATCTCACCACCTGCACAGCCGGCATCGGCCTGGAGCAGCCGCGTCCCTCACCGTGGCTACTGCAAAGCACCTCCGGGTGCCCATCCCTGTGGTGGTTCTCAGCCCCCTCGGTGGGGCCATGACCACTGAAGTCCCGGCTCAAACCCACCTCCCCCGAGGACGAGCCTCCTTCAGCTGTGACCTCCCCCCGCCCCACCCCGCGGGCTCCTCCTGTTCCTCCTCCCGGCCTCACACCTGCGCCCCCATCCAGACCCTCCGCTCACAGCCTCGTTCACCAGCCCTCGCGGACTGTGCGAGGCCGCACACCTCCTGACACGCGCAGTCCTCCCTTCCCTGTACCACTTTCTACACAACCTGCAGGCGCCAGGCACAGACCGGACTCCTCCCCTGCTTTTCTGTTTTCCTCTGTCACCTGCACACAAGCAGGGATTCCCACCTGTTCTACTCGGATTTATCTCCTGTGCCTAGAATAACATCTGGCACACAGTGGGCACTCAGTGCCTATCTGTCGAACCAATGAACTGAAAGAGCCGATGCAGGTGACACAGAAAAAGGGGCATGTGGTCTCAGGCGGCCTATGGAGCAGCATGAATCGAGAGCCCGGGTTTGGGCTTGAGCTCTGCCACTCCTTAGCAAACGACCTGACCTGCAGTTCCTCATCCGTGAAGTGGATACAACCGTCTATCTCACACGGCTACAGAGGAATGAAGGGAAACAATGGCCCAGAGTAGGCATTATATAACTACTACATACAGTATTAAATAATAAGACGTCATTATAACAACGTGGTGACAACAGTGACTACGGAAAAGCACCCGAGGGGACAGAATACCTGTTTGGGAGCTAAAGTATACAACACAAATTTAAGTGTTCTATGAGTTCAGGGACGAAGGAGTCCAAGGGACGTGGAAACGTTTTAACAGGCTTCATGGAGAGGGCGGTGGGAGCCCAGCACTGACACCCTGGATAGGATTTTGACGGACAGACACGCAGGCAGCAAGCCGGCCTCGAGTGCGGGAGACATGCCCACGGCTGACTGGCGGGAGTGAGGCCAGGCCGAGGGGACAGCGTGCACGAGAAAGAAACAAGGCGGGCTGGGTTCAAGAAAACCTCCGAGGAGCTACGGACACTGCGGGGAACACGGGAGGGACAGAGACAGCACAGAGCCCCTCCCAGTGTCTCCCGACTCCGCGATCGGCACGTCTGTTCCGACGCACGGCCAAAGACCCCGGGTGTCCACGGCCATCTGCTCCCCCGACTCAGCCCGTCACCGAGTCATGCAAACCCAACCCCTACAACACACCTGGGTCTGAACAGCCCCACCATCGAGGCCACCCTACCCTGGACTCAGTGTCTAAAATGCAACTGTAATTTACTACACACCTTTGAAAGACATGCTATATACATTTGTATCGTTTTCATTGCAAAGCATTCTCCCTTATACATCATAAATCACAGAGAACTGAACGGAGCAAACCAGGAGAGATGCTCCCCCCAGGCCCGGCCCAGCACCAACTTCGCGAAGCAGCCCTCTTCTCTCTGAAAGGGTGGGTTTTTACATGACCCACAGCCTACACTGAACCTTGACTTCAGCAGAAATATTCTCCGACACTAATTCCAACCAATCCAGTTAGGCTCAGCACAGAAACCATCTGTGTTAAAATGAATACAATTCAACTCACCATCAGTGAAATTTTAAGTACGATTTGCTCTCCATGTGTACATAAAATACATAGGTTGGGCAGAATACATTCCAAACTATTAGCTCTATTTAAAAATTCTTCCTAACAAAGAAGCAGAAATCTCAGTAACTGGTCTCTGACTCTATGAAAAATAGAACAGCAATTTATAGCTATTTAAAATCATAAGTTCAGCCTCATAAAAACCCTACTTTGTCCTTAAAGCTGGATACACAGGCTTACCTGGACTTTCAGCCATTGTCCCTTGGAGAGCTCTGTGGGAATATGTAGCATACCCCACTAGCTTTGCCAGGAGATCTCTGCTGCTGAGCAGTTCTTCTAAACATTTCAGTTGACCAGCATTGGGGTAAAGAAAAATTTTATAAGCGGCTTCTCGCACCTATGTTTAGAAAGTGAAAGGTAAAAGACATCCATGCACAGTACAAAGTCCTACACCATAATAACATAGGGTACCTCCCCCACTTTGTTCTGCAGGCGAGCAACGCTTTCGAATAATGGTCTCCACAAAGTGAATAAAGCTTCTGGATTCATCGCTGGTACGCGAGACAAATCATACTCGACTGGGTTCTCTACTATGGGGCAGGGTGGCACAAATTTTAGCCAACACACGTGCCATGAAGCACCTTTAACCAGGTGACGTGAAAACTACCTGCAATTAAAGTCTGAGTCCCTAGAATGGCCATCATTGCCGCTGTTCATCATACTTTGAAAATGAGGAGCCCTTTATGAAACAGGAGTAATCAAACCATTTTCATTATTCAAAGCATTCACAGAGTTAATAACCCCCAGTTTAATTATTCGTGCTTAGTGACACTAACGGTATTTTTAAAGCTGTGACTATCTTATCACTGAATTTGGGGGTCACAACAGACGTGGCCCCGGTACAGGGACCAAACTGCATGAAGGATGGAGCACACATACCAAGTCATCCGGCACTTCTGTACGCAGACCATCCACCAGCACATGGTCCCCGGCCAGCTCGAAGTGATGCCGAATGTGTTCCGGCAGGAGATGCTTCTCAATCTTGCTGGGAAAGTGGGTTCCCATGAGAAACGCGCTACTCAGATCCAAGATTTTAATGTTCAGGTCCACCGCTCTTTTACGCTGTACGTAGGGGCAGTAATAAAAGTTATTTAAGTAATATTTCACAACTTAATAGGTGATTTATGAAGACAGCAAATCAACATATATGGCTGAATTATAATAAGATACTAAATATATTAAGTGATAAAATGAATAGTGAATATAATTTGTATCATAAATGTTTAATTTTATTTATTTATTTATGGCTGTGTTGGGTCTTCGTTTCTGCGCGAGGGCTTTCTCCAGTTGCAGCAAGTGGGGGCCACTCCTCATTGCAGTGCGTGGGCCTCTCACTATCGCGGCCTCTCTTATGGCAGAGCACAGGCTCCGGACGCGCAGGCTCAGCGGCCATGGCTCATGGGCCCAGCTGCTCCGCAGCATGTGGGATCTTCCCGGACCAGGGCTCGAACCCGTGTCCCCTGCATTGGCAGGCAGACTCTCAACCACTGCACCACCAGGGAAGCCCCATAAATGTTTAGTACACAGTAATGTACTACAAATGTTAACTCTACTTTTGATAGATGTTTAATATCCTGACCAAAAAGTTATCTTACGGATTTTCAGTGCTTCTAGGCTTTAAGACGTATGTAACTTCTAGAGTTCTATTCAAAGTCTGGGTTACACAACGCATCTGTGAAATTAACAACATTGGAAAGTCCAGGTCCTCCCCTGGCCCTGAAAACCTCTTAGTTAAGTGAGCCAGGGAGTAGTTGAATCTGTTTGATATGATACTTAAAAGTACTTTGAGACTAAACACATGAAGTATTTGAAGGGGAGATTAGAAAATATTCTCAGTCTTGAAAGATCAGATACAAGGGCAGGGGAAGGAAGCTATAATTAGTGCAGTTCTTTGCTGAAGTGCAGCGAAGGGGCTCTTCCAAAGCTCTGCTGGGCACCCACTTGCGGGGCTACAGCAGGACAGCAGCAGAGAGGTGAGGAGGGCTGGAGTCGAGGCTGCTGGGGCAGGACCACGTCCCCCAGCCCAACGGCTGGCACCGTCAGGCCTCGGGCCGTCAGTGACAGTGACAGAATGGGGTGGGTTTTCTCGTCAGTCGCACCCCTAGGACACCACCTCCGGAGAAAACCTGTGCCATCAAAAGGGTGCCACAAATGTTTGGGACGAGGTCCTTAAAACTGAGGTCCACATCACTGGTCAGGTCCTCCCGGGGACAAGGGGTGAATTTTCAGGCACTTGTTACAGGAAAACTAGACAGGCATCCAGACCTGGGCTCAGGACAGGCTTCAGGTGAAATCACAGGCAAGCTTCCCAGCAAGGCAGTCGATAGCTATTAACAGGTTCTAAACTACGCTATGACCCTAACAAATGATTAGGCAGCACTAGTAGTTTTAAAAGATAACTATGTATGACGCAGATGTACCCTTGCTAAGCTGCCGGAAAAAACTTAGTGTATTTTAATAACAAAAAATTTCAATACAGAAAATTCAAACTTCATAGGAAAAATAAGTTTTCAGATACTCCTACATCTTTATCATCCAGACTTCTCTTTGCCCATTTTGTTTCTGATATGGCCATTTGTCACCCCCCTAATGGTGACCAGTGGAATAACAAAAAAGAAAGACATCTGGAAATTATACTATAGTTCCAAAACCTTTCCTCAAAGCTTTTACTATTTAAAAAAAAAAAAAAAGTGATAAAATTAGTTATTTCAAGGAGTTTATCACCTGTTACAATCCCTGGAAAAATAAAAACGGTTTATTTCCCGACTTCACCAACAGTCTGCTAAGCATATCATTTCATCATTTGGACATAATTAAACATGCGGTACTCGGAGCTCTAAGAATGCTATGAAACTGTTGCATTTATTAAATGACTGCTGAAGAACACACTTCCTTTAATTTTTCATAGTATTCATGAGACCCTAAAATGTAAGTAAGGAATAACCTGGAAAGAGTACAGAAAGAACGTAGGCCTTTACAGTTTGTAGGTTATGTTAGTGGCTTCATTTCAAGCTCTCTTAAAGTGTGCTCTGTCTCCCTTGCCCCCTGTCCTAGTGGAGCACCTCTGACAACAGACACTGAAGTGACAACACGGGAGCTCAGCAGGTTTACGTTACTGCATCTTCAACGTGGGTGGGCTCGCAGGGTGTTACCTGCTAGGAGGGGCAGCTGTCCTACTAAGAACACACGTTAGATAAAAGCAGCAAAGTCAGTGCTGGTGAAGCTGACCTTGACCTGACATGCTACTTTTTAATAAAGTTTCAAAAACACCTTTCATGAAGATTCTACAAAATAATAAAACTATTCTCCCAGATTCTCTAATAGCAAACTTCCTCCTGAAAATATCGAATCTGATTAATGTTGGTGAGCATCATTATGATTCTCACACATTATTTTATTGAGCCTAAAACTCCTGTGCATGAAAAAAGAGAACCCACACTCCCTGTCCTTGAGAGCCCTGTGATTTAGATAAGCAACGCAGTAATAACAACCTAAAGGTAAATGCCGTATGTGTGAAGTAAGTAAAATGTGAATTCGGATGAATACAAAATTCCACCTGGGGTGTTGAGAACAGCTTTACAGACACCATGGCCTGAAGATGAAGGCTTAATGGGGATTTCAGACAGGCAAACCCAGAGGGGACAGAGGACCAGAGCAGGGAGGGCAGTGCCATGAGTAACACGGGGGGTAGGGGCAGGGAGAGCTGGGGATTCTACATATTAATTACCATTTATACTCTTTCAATAGGCAATGGGAAGGCACTGGAAGGTTCTGGGTGGGAGAGTAACAATTGAATCAGCGCTTTAAGGAAAGTACTCCAATGGTCAGAGACAGGTTAGACTGACCGCCAGAAGGCCTGCAGGCAGGGCAGCCGGGCAGGCCCTGGAGTCGGCTTGGCTTATGTAATAGCCTCCTCCACCTACAAGCTCTGTGACCTTGGGGAAATCACATGACCTCTAGGTGCCTAAGCGTCTTCACCCATGAAACAGGAATAGTAGTAGTACCAACCTCAAAGCTGTTATGAAGATCTGATGAGAAATATGTGATTTAAAGAGCAAATGCTTAATCACTGTTACTTATAATGGGTGTAGGAAGACAACGGTTTTTAGGATGGCCCAGGTATTTGGTGATACGGATCAAGGTGAGTTGTTTTGGGGATGCAGAGAGAGGCAAGTGAAGCCCTACAGAAACAATCCAAGGACTTGGTCACTGAGATAAGAGAGCACTGAGAATAGAAAAAATGCAAACTGACTCCAAAATTGGATTTGGGTGACTCAGAGAATGGTGGCAATATTGGTACAGAGAAGTATTAATAACAAACTGGTCTGGAAAGGGGCAAATGTGTCCATCTCAGGCAATCTGAGTTTGCAGTAGAGCTTATCAGCCTTGGGGACTGCTGGGTTAGGCCAGGAGTCACATGCTGAGCCCTTAGGGCCACACAAGTACACAGACATGTGAGCGGCCTCAGAATTACTCACACTCAGCACCAACCAAAATGACAGCATCTATGTATGTGACACGTATTCTCAATATCCTGCCCTCTACTTTCCAAGACACTTTGATAAACCAATCTCTGTTAATAGGTAAGTGGCTTTATCATATATTTACCAGGAGAAACATATTTATCTAAAAAAGAAAGAGGCACCGTAACAGTCTAGGCTGCAGGCAGGCAGGGTGAGACACTGGAGCAGGCAGCTCTTTGGGTGCTGGTTGGACCATCCCATTTTTCCAGCCCTGAGCTTAATACTGAAGTGAATAAGCACCCACTGGGATGTCGTGTTTTAGAAGAGCAGCAGCCAGGGTGAGAGATCCTGAGGACAAAGGATGGGAACTTGAACAGATCGCTTTGCCTTGTTCCCACACATGTAAAATGAGGGGTCTGGACAAAGAAGGCCCCTCCCATCCCAGTTTCAACACGGTATAACCCACGCTTACTGCTTTCAGAATGAAACTATGGGGGTCTGTCCAAGACAGGTATTACATCAACAAACACACCTGCACTGGGTCTCAACAATACTTCCTGTACTCCAGCAACCAGACCCTAATCTTCAACAGCGCCAGCTTTCCTACTCACTAGCTGGCCTTCCTGATACGGCCCATCTCATCCCACTTCCATGACACCTAAAACGCCCCAACTGCCTCAAGTCGTTTCTTAACTCTGAATTATCCTGGCTGACAGGCCAACTTCCAGAGAGCACTATGTTCAAATACAACTTACAGGAGAATTTTATAACATAACCGACCTAGGTGTCTCTATAATATGGAAATTCAAGCAACATACAAGAACCACATCAACAATATACCAACTAGATATCAGTAAAACAAGAGGAGCCAAAAAACAAGGTTACCTTTTCTCCGTCTAGATGGATTCCACTGATTTCAAAATCAAACATAAACAGTTCGGCCACGCGCCTATAAATAAAATAGGTGCCAGGTTAGAACAGGTAATGATAATTATGAACAAAAATCAGTTTTTTACAAAATAAATCCATCTTTTTCAACCTTACTGCCCAAAAGCCGGATGTTTCGACACACACACACACACACACACACACACACACACACACACACACAATTTGTTTGCTTGAAACCAGGAGCTTAACATCTTAGAAGTCAGGCAAAACAGCTGGTTGACTGACTGGGTTTTAAGCTTTCCTATGGATGATTTGGTATCAGATACACCGTGCTAACTATACACAAATCTTAAACTGACAATGAATGACAATTACTCCAACAAGGCCAAATTTTCTGCTTTTTTCTAGAAAGGAAAAAATGTACATCTTTTCAACTGTCTTTCCTTCAAGAATATCTGCTGCAAACTATACACAACGCACCAAATTAAGTCCTTGTGGGACATACACATGCTGCCTGAACTCCGCATGAAGGTGTGCATGCATAACTGTAACACATTTCCTACTCAGCATGTGTACTGAACAGAACGATATTCTGCTCACCCATAAGGCGTGGCCCAGACGGGGATAAGTACTTTTTGAATGAATGAACACAAGGCAAAAGAAATAATAAGTTTCCTAACAGGGGTACAAATAAAGTGCTTAGGGAGCTCAAAGACCATCAATAGCGATGGTCAACAGGTCAGCGACGTCTGAAGCATCACCTTTTGCTCCCGCTATCAAAAAGCAGACTCTTCATCAGCTTCAAGCCACCATCCCCTTCCCCCTGGGCTAAGTTTGCTTAGACTTAGGAGGGAAGATGGCTATTTCAAGAATGAGTACCAGTGTGCTTTGTAGAAATCCAGTTTTTAATGATCGTAAAGTGCATCTGCAAACTTCACAATAGGCCCTAATTTTCCTAACCTTTCCTTAATGTAACAATTTCACCCTAATGTCAAGTATTAGCAGTAATAAAAAAGCAACAGCAGAACATAAAGTATCCTGGATAACATATAAAGCAAGGGGCAAATTTTCAGTAATTTTCTCCTGTAATATTTTATACTTACAAGTTCATCTTTCCCTTTTTATTTTTTTTAATTAATTAATTTATTTTTGGCCACACTGGGTCTTTGCTGCTGCATGCAGGCTTTCTCTAGTTGCGGCGAACAGGGGGCTACTCATCATTGAAGTGCGCGGGCTTCTCACTGCAGTGGCTTCTCTTGTCGCAGAGCACAGGCTCTAGGTGTGCAGGCTCAGTACTTGTGGCTCGCAGACTCAGTAGTTGTGGCACACGGGCTTGGTTGCCCCATTGCATGTGGGATCTTCCCAGACCAGGGATCGAACTTGTGTCCCCTGCAAAGGCAGGCGGATTCTTAACCACTGCACCACCAGTCAAGTCCCCATCTTTCCCTTTTTAGTTATAAGCTAATTTAAGATGATTTACTTTCCCATTAGGGACCAGGGGAATCAAACTACTGAACTCGTGGGCTTTCCTGGTGGCTCAGTGGTTATGAATCCGCCTGCCAACGCAGGGGACACAGGTTCAAGCCCTGGGCCAGGAAGATCCCACATGCCGCAGAGCAACTAAGCCCATGCACCACAACTACTGAGCCTGTGCTCTAGAGCCCACAAGCCACAACTACTGAGCCCGTGTGCCACAACTACTGAGCCTGCACTCTAGAGCCCACGCACCACAACTACTGAGCCCGTGTGCCACAACTACTGAAGCCCGCCTGCCTAGAGCCCATGCTCTGCAACAAGAGAAGCAACCGCAATGAGAAGCCCGTGCACCACAACGAAGAGTAGCCCCCGCTCGCCGCAACTAGAGAAAAGCCCGTGCCCAACCACAAAGACCCAACACAGCCAGAAATAAATAAAAAACAAATATTTATAAAAATAAAAATCCTACTGGCATCTTAGTAACATCTAGAAATGTGGTACATGTCCAATTAGCACAACTCCTTTGTACCTCAAATAGTCTGCCAGTCTACTTCCATTTTTATACATTAAATATGGGAAAGCAAATCTGTAGTAAAGTCAGACCATGAACAACCTGTTGTTACTCAAAGTCAGCAGCAGCTCAGTATAAATCCAGCACAATTAGCAAGCATTCAACTTTTTACTCATTTTGCTAACGAAGGTAACAATGCTCAAACCTAAAATTATAATAAAGACCCATTGCTGTGATTGTACAGCCAGCTTTACCCATATCCTGAGCATCAGGATCAATGAACTGAAACAGGACCACAGGTAACCGCTTACAGGCAGACAGGTGAAGACAACCCCTCCCTGCTTCTCACACGGCATGGTCATTCGTACACCAGATCAACATGAGACACCACCGCTGACTGATCCCTGCGGGCTGGGCTTCACTTGGGGTCACAGGCCACGTACGGAGACAGACGACAGAGGAGGAAGCAGACGGGGCCAAGTAAGCACCCCATAAAGAAAAAGGAGATAAACAAGTGCAAAAGGCAGGAAAAGACATTCGTCTCTGTGCCATGACACAAATAACATATAGGCGGGTTAACAACAAACTCTACCACGTTTTATAAATAAATAAATCTGAGCAAATATAATATCCACAGTCCTGTATCAAATATATTTGTGTACTGAGTTAGAATTAGGTCTTTTCAATTCAGAATCATAAATGGTATGAACCAAAGCCAACCATTTCAAGGATCTTGACATCCACCAGTAAATAAAAGCACTCTGCTTTCAGATCCCGCTGTAGCAACGACGGAACTTTAGGAATGCAGCTAAATGGAACTGTCAACTGCTCATAGAAATCCATACCCTGGAGAGGGCCCTGCTGCAGGCCGCGGCTGTGGGGTGCTAAGATGCAGCAGTGAACAAATCAGACCAGGCCCTGCCCTCGAGGAGCTTCCTGTCCAGCGGGTGGGAAAGCTGAGCCGACAAACGGGCAGAGGAGAGAAGGCTGGGAGCCTGAGGACTGAGAGAAGCGGAGCTGGGCGGGAGGCCGGGGTGAGACAGGCACAGAGCTCTCGGAGGAGACACCGTCTGAGTGGCGTCCAAGGAGGGTGCGGGACTCGTCGCATGGGGAGAAACCGTCCGGACAAAGGGGCCGTGAGTGCAGGGACACCAAGGGGCCGGCTTTCAAGCTCAGCTCCACAGTCACAAGCGCGATGAACGCAAAGGAAGCAGTACCTGGTTTCTGGATCAAGGGAATCCGCAAGTTTTTTATCAGCTAATAATTTCTGCAGACTTTGATATAATTCCACATTTGTGTTCAACCTAGAAAAATTACAAATAAAAAAAATTAAATGACTTTCTTGTATCTTCTTTTTTTGCTTTACGTGAAGAGAATGGTGTCAAGTTCTAGCATCCACATGGCCAGAGGCCAAAGGTTTGGGGTATTGTTTTGTTTCTTCCTTTGGACCAGGAATGGCATAACCGCAGTTAGTAAGGGACGGGAAGTGTGTTAGTATTAACTGTCCCGGAAAGTAAAAGCATAAACTTAAAGCCACAGTCCACAGCTAGGGACAGAAGAGCAGACAGGACGTGACCCCGCTCCCATCGAGAACCAGCCGCGTCAGCAACATGCCAAGGACCACTGGTTTCTCTAACAGGAGAGGAGCGGGAAAGGGAGGGGAGGAACAGACGCAAAGACCTGCAGTCCTGACTGGGCGCCGGGCCTGGGCTGCCCTGGCTCACCCGGGGGAGTGGCAGGTGCACACCGGGGACAGCTCGAGGGCACAGGCTTCGGAGCCGCACCCTGCAGCCACATGGGCCCCGGCTACCGTGCCCTTGGTCCGAAAGGGTTAGACCCTTGGTGGCCCCCAGGGTTCAGCGAGACGCTGGGCACGGCCCCCACTCCCAGAGGAGGCGGCTACTGCCCGCGGCTGAACTCGGGCCCGGCCCACCCAGCACTGCCCACGCGCCCACGGCACCACCGGACAGCTCCTGAGTCCCTCTCCGGAGAGCACAGTGCAGGCCAGAGCTCCTGCCTCGGGAAGGGCAAGGGCTGAGAGCCGCCCACCAGGTCCACTCAGGGGCTCGTGGGCAGTCAGGTTCCCCGGGCAGCTCACACACAATCAAACCCCTGCAGATTCATACGAACCGAGGGGCCACGGTGCTCACGGGCCACCCTGAACCTGAGGGACCAAGGCAGCCCCGCCGGCCGAGAAACGCCAGCAGGGGGGCAGGCTCGGCCTCAGCCCCAGGAACCGGGAGGAGGTCAGCAAGGACGGCCGCCTCCTCTGGCTGCTCGGCCCCCGGCCGCCCACATCCAAGGGCAGCCGTTCCAAGGTGGCCGGCCGGACCCACGTCCGAGGTTTGAGCAGATCTCCCATGTCGTGTCCTACATTGTAGGACTCTGAGATAAAGTCTGCGTTTTAGTCTATATTTGGCATTAATTCTAAACAAATACATCCAGTTTTATCCTTGTTTTTCCACCACTGGAAAGTCAGTCGATCCTACTCGGGCACCGGAAGTCATCCTATTCAAAGCTGCCCTGGGCAGTTAGGGTGCAGCTCAGGCTACAGGGGAGAAGCAGCCAGCGTTCAGGAGGGCGGAGGGCAAGGCTCTGGTTTCTGTCCAGTGACGACGGCCAGGTCCCTCGGCAGCACCCATGTCCCCCCGGGGGGGCAGGGCCCGGTCCCAGCAAAGGACTGAGCTGCGCTCCACGGCCAAGGTGGGGACCTCGGGCCGAGCCTCCGACACCACCTCTCTACCAACCGAGGCGCCCGCTGTCCTTGCGCGGAACCAGGAGCCCAGGTCCGCCGACGCAGCACGCAGGCCCCGGGCAGGGGCCCAGCGCTCTCGCTCACCTCCCCAGCAGCCCTCGGCTCCAGCGCCGTCAGCACACTGGGGTCTGGAGTTTGCAGGGACCAGCTTACCTGTTCAAGGAGCCAAATTTCGCACGCACCATCCCCAAAGGGCAAACGCTGCCGGGGACACCGGCCAGCAGCAGCCGTACACCCCACGTGAGCCCCGGGGGACGGAGGGGCCGCCGCTGGGCTGGGAGGCACAGGTCCCGAGGTCTTTCCAGCCGGAGGGCCGGGCACCCGCACTGGCTGACCACCCCCACCCCCGTCCAGGTGGGCGCCCTGCCCCCTCCCCGTTACTCTGACCAGTGTTCTTACATTTACTCCGAATCCCTTTCAAGTGACCGACTTCACCCCAGCCTGCGCCTGCCACAGCTCCCAGGCTGCCTTTACCATGGGCCCAGACACCCCAAATCCCAGCCCCAAGGGGACCGCAAGGCCACAGCTCCAGGGCGACAGCGATTCCACCGCATGGCCATATGCCAGCTCGCGCTGCCCGCCCCCGAGACGCTGAGGATCCCTTCAACGAGGAGAACGAGGACCCTGGGCGTCCGCGGCGTGCCCCCAGCACCACAAGCACTTTGCATTTACCGTCTTGTCTTCCTCCCAGCAGCCCTGAGACGCAGTCACTCCACCAACCCCCTGACCAGTGAGGAAACCGAGGGACAGCAGACAGGGAGGCGGCCCAGAGTCAGGCCGCGGGCTCCCCGCCCCACCCCGCCACCCGCCCGCCCCGGGCAGCCCTGCGGCTCACACACCAACCCCACACCCAGGGCGAGCCCTGCACACAGACGGCCTCCGGGAGGAGGGGCAGACGTACGTCTCCACCATGGCGCCAATGCTCCGACAAGCCTCCTCCGCAGCCTCTCTGAATGCTGCCTCGGGGTGAGCGATTTTCACAAAATCGGCCTAATGGAGGGGAGACAAAAGCAAAAGGGCGTTTGATGGGAAGCTTGCTTCCAGGGTCTGAGGGCGAAAATGAAAACGTGAGCTTTAAAATGTGTCATTTGCCTTGACCCAGCATTTCCATTACTGGAACTTTCCTAAGCCGGCGGGAGAAGCAGCTTCCTCCTGAACATTCATTAATTCTGTTATTCCCGGGAACCAAGTCCGTTTCATTTCCAAATACATTCCGAAATACCCTTACTGACTTTATTTTAGAGAAGTCTCCCTCCTGCAAATGTAAAAACCAAGTGAATTCTTCCTACTTCTATCATTCAAAAGAGCAGACTCCCGCTTCAAATAACCCAGAGCTTTCTACCTAAGTGCTTCTCCCTGGCTCCACGGAACGCCGCTTGGAGGCGCTGCTAGTTAACACTCGCACCTGGTGTCCTTTCAAGGCTGAGTTAACTTGCGTTCCAGCCGTCGTGCAGAGAACAAAGACTGCCTTTGAGTAAATAGGAATCCCCAGCTGCAGCCTACCTGGCGCAGGACTAGAGATGCTGTACTGACCTTAGAATTTAACTAAGCCAGAATCCCTTTACTTTTTTTAATGAAATCTCATAAAACTAGATTTTAGTTTTCATGTTAACTACAGTACACTGCAAAACAGAAATGCAGGGAAACTACAAAATACTGCATATTTTCTTCATTTCTTCATGAAGACAACACGTACGGCTAAAACGTGAAATAAAATCACCACAAAGTAAAATGTCCTAATTTTATTATCAAATAGTTTTTTATGTAGAAATATATAAATCCATAGTTTGATAAAACATTTGACGTAACAGTAGGATAACATCTGCACTAAGGCACCTGAAAAGTGAGCTGTGTAAACTTTAAAAGATGCTATATAAATTACTCATCTGCATGCTGCACAATTTACAATCATTATTAAAATTCAGAACACCAGCATACGTTTTAAAACTCGTTTGTGATAGTGGTGAGGAAAATAATACAGTTCCACGGGAACTGTGTTAAGAAAGAAAAAGAAAAGAAAATGACCAGTTTATAAACTCATGCCTTACATGGTACTGATCTCACTAGCCAGTAAAATCTTAAAAATTCAAAAAAGGAAGAAGATTCTTTGAGCTTTTTGACCCAAATATTGACGTGTATAAATCACATCCTAGTCTTTTTGAATGAGACATTATCAAACTTCATAAATATAAAAAACTTCAAAAATAGGGCAAGGTATGGGGCAGAGAAGTTACAATCTTTTAGTGAAGAGCAGAAGCAGAAATGTGGAAAAAATGCTAGAACACTGGTCAATTAAGACAGAGGCTAAGACAACAAACACCCAGAAAGTTCTGGGATTTCTGACCGCAAAAGCCAATACTCGATCACAAATAAGTGAAATTTGCTGACCAGCGCTTTCCGTTCGGATTTCAGCGGCACCGTTAAGCAGAGCCGGTTCGAAACCTCTTTTCTGACAGTACGTCTCCCACTTCCCTCAACAAGACGAGCCCTCGCTGAGCACATCCCGGAGGGACAGAACCCTAACCCAGAAAAAGCAAGCGCTGACTATGGAGCCCGCCGCACAGCTCACTTCGCCCTCAGGAAAGCCCTTCAGGATGGATACTCTGCCCATGTCTTTACAACTGGGAAACTTGCAGCAGTGGGTCTAGGACAGCGGAGCTGCTACTGGCTCAGCGCAGATGCTGAGAGCAAGGAGGCTATCGAGGAAGGAAACCACAGACGGGGAGCTGCCACCCTGGTGAAGAAAGTCATCCTCAAACGGTAAATATGATTCCACCTACCTGACACTTAAGACAAACTACGGGGATGGAGAACAGATCAGAGGTTGCCAGAGGTGAGAGGCGAGGTGGGTGCGACGCACAGGGAGCGTTCTGGGGGTGATGGAAGAGTTACGCAGCCTGACTACTACATGCACACAGAGTCCACGTTCACAGACCTGCACCACCCCTTAGAAGAAGTCGATGTTACTGCGTAATAATTTTGAAAATAAACACTTTCTCACAAGATGGGGAGGCGACCTTCCTGCCACTCCAGGTAAGGTTCCATCCGGCCCGGGCGGCAGCAACCCTGGAAGCGTGGAGAGGGAGGCCTCTGCGGCCAGACTGCCTGGACGCGAAGCCCAGCTCCACCACTCACGGGCCGGGCAACTTAATCTCTTAGTGCCTTTCTTTCCTCGTTGACAGGTAGAGACATGCCCAGAAGGCTGAATCAGTCAATCCAGGTGAAGCTCTTAGCTGGGTCCAGTGCCAATAAGAGCTACAAAACAGCCAGCACCAGAACATAAGCTCCATGAGGTCAGGACCCCACTCCCAGTGCCCGGCCAGGGTGGGGCTGCGCGTAGAATGAACGTGAAGAAAGAGCTGTACAGACAGGAGCAGGCGTGACCACGACTGGGGACTGGCGCGCCACTATGATGTCACGGCCACCCTGGGCCGAGAGGGAAGCCTGCTTCCACCTCAGCCGTGGGCATCTCAGCTGGCGGAGAGACCTGAGGGCACTTCTATCTCAACTTCAAAATGTAGGGAAAAGACACCTTTGATACAATCAGTTTGATGTCAAAACCTTATTTTTGACCAGAAAAGACATTCCTGAAAAGGCTTATAAAAACTAGTTTTTTTCTAAGATTAATTTTATTGTAAAGGTACAGGTAAATGTTCTACTAGAATTTTGGTAGAATTTTTATAAATGAAGAACCTCTGTAACAAGAATCTTTGCCAAGTGCGTAATCATTCTTCCATTACATACTGCATATCTATTTTGTTAAATATACATATTAAAGTACGAGTACTAAATCTGACCTTTCCTATACATTCTTCCCATTCAACAGCACACTTCACTATAACAGATTACACCCAAGAGCTCTCAAACAGTTCAGACATTCCTAACTTTACAGTCCAATACTGAACCTAATACACTGAGCTTAACTTGCAAAAGTGAGAGGTGGTCTGCGGCCCATGCCCGGTGTCTTACCAAGTCGGCCACCCTGCACAAGGAGTCCGAGAGCTCGTCAAAGATGAGCACGGTCTGGGGCCCAGGAGGCACAGAGCACACGCGGCCCACCAGCTGCTCCGTTTTCCTCAACGCCTTCTCCTGGGCGACACGGAATCCTTCTGGGGCACTGAGCTCAGGAACTCCAAACAGGCCCTGAAACCCAAAGAACAGTTTCCACTGATAACTAAAAACATGACCCGGGGGTATTCAATACAAATACTTTTTTCATAAACAAAATCTTGGTTTTCGTTGATATTTCATACCATGGTGACACCTGTCATCACAGGATCACTTTCACATTCCCCGCGACATTCCACATGACACTAAAAATGTTTTAGAATGTAATTTTCTTCAATTTTTAATTATTTTATAAAAAACAAAAATAGAATGATATGGGTTCAAAATCCAGCTCTGTCACTACCACAGAACCTAACTCACAAAGTGGCAAGGATTAAACGATACACGTTTTTAAAAAACATTTTAACAGTGCCTGGCACAGAGAAAGCATTTAACAGATGTCAGCTGTAACCGCTATCAGCTGTGTGACCCTGGTCGAGTCCTCTCTCCTCCTTGGCCTAATTTCTTCATCAGGCATGAAGGGATGACAATATGTGCCGTGTCTCACAGCACGGACACAGGAACAAGGTTAGTAAGTTCTCAAGACCCTGCCCAGCACTGAGTGAGGCCCAGGGCACAGCATCAAGCACTCCACAAACTATGAAATAGGGATGGTGAGTTGATTACTGAGTACATATATATTTTAGAAAGATTTAATAAACATGCTAAACCAAGTCATAGGTGGAAACTGGCAGCAAATTTTATACCTTCCAAAAGCATTTCAACACCTTGATAATGATAAAAATCACTATCTAATGGCAAGGAAGGACCATCTTCTTGTACCGGTTCGATCGCACTTGTTATGATGCCCAGGAAGGCAGACAAAAACCACAAAACGCTTATTACACGTCGACGGCATGCCAAAAGTGTACCATGTACCTTACACAGGTTCTCCCGTGTAAATCACACAATCCTAGAGCACAAACTATCAGTCACCTTTTTACAGATAAGGTAACACTTTCAGAGGTTAAACGAACATGTCTGTGGTCACTAGCAAACAGTGGGAAAGTCACAACCTGAACTTGCTCCAAGCACCCCTAAAGCCCACACGTTCTCCACGCTCGTGGACTGCAGCTGGCGTTGGAAAGTCTTGCCTCTGCAGAAGGGCAGCTCCGGGGACTAGGAACCCCGCTCTTCACCATTTTAACCAGCTGCCCAACGCAGGGCCCAACACAGGCAGAAACTCACTAATGAGGCAAATGAACAAGGCCAGACCGCTATGTAGACAGCTTTGTATCAAGAGATGCTTAACAGGTCAATTGCGGGAAATACGAAGAGGTGAAGCTTTCAGGCCTGACAAGGCCCACTGTTTCTGCAAGA